ACACACACACACACACACACACACACACACACACACACACACACACAATAATGCTTTAGACATCTTGTGCCAACAAACAAAATTTTGTCCAACATGCTGGCGTACGCTTAATATAGACTTAAAAATAGATCTGGAAGCCTCTTTTGAACGTATACATGCTGTACTGTTAACAAGTTGTACAAACATCTGAGTAACTTAACCTGTCCCTAGTGGAACAATACCCCTTTAAGGCATAGATGTGCTTTGTGGAAACATCTGACATTAGTTTTACAGGTGATGTTAGAAGTTGCTCATACGTTAGAAATCAATCGTACATTACACAATTTTCCAGCAGGTTTCTGACGTATATCAACTTATAAATAACATATGTAACGCAGTGTTTCCCCTACCATTATACAAACGGGGTGTCTCACCCCGTCAACAGAACGGAACACCCTGCCTACCAAACCGACAGCCACCCCCTCCCCCCGGCACTGACATAGCGCTAAGCTAGCGGTTCGCAATACAGGCGCTCTAGCTAAAAAGCTAAAGGCGCCTCTTCCCTCATGCTGAACGCCCCCCTCCCCGCCCTTGCTCAAAAACTGTTTGTACAAGCTGCACTCAGACGTCTCCATCCCCCATCAACAAAAATCATGGATGAGATGAGCACCCCACCATGGCAAGTTAACTAGGGGAAACACTGCAACGTGTGTAAACTTATGCATATCTGCCAGTCGCATACCTGTAACGTGTTCCTTACTTGTTAGCAAGACGTTGGAATACACAGAACATTTTGGTCTAGCAATGAGTTGCCATCATATCAGCGTGTTGGTAACTTATTTAAAACATACACCTAACTTATGTGACTTATGCCAGGACGTTGTTTTTTTTCTTCCATATGTTGATGTTGGGGAATATTTGGTCAAAGTTTATAGATGATTTTAACTACAGTGTTTCCACTATTATTATACAAGCAAGGCTCCTCACTCTGTCAACACGACTGATGTAGCGCTACGCTAGTGGTGAGCAGAACAGATGTACTAGCCAAAAAGCTACAGTTGTAGCGCTCTGTCTCCATCATGCTGAGCCGGCTCGGCTGAACTGATAAGAGTATAAAAGCGAGCTGGGGAGACAGCTCGTGGCAGATTCTCATGACTGGTCATCATGTGTGTACTTTCTGTAGTTTCATGTAACCTGTCCTGAAAATCTGACCTTGCAAGTAAAAAAAATTATCCAGCTGTTGGGTGTGGTTCCCTTTGAGTAAGATAAAGTGAGCATGTTTTTCTCCTACAGTTGTAATGCTGATGCTATAGGTCACTGTAGCAAGTAGCAACTCTGTTCAACTAACTACATTAAAACCAGAAACCAGCTTGAAAGTCTTAACATATTTTTCTCTCTCATGTTATCTACAAATGTGAACTAATGACATAAGTAAAGACAGCTAAAGTGACCGTATTATATCCTAAAGTCTACAATTGAAAACAAAATGTTTGGGGGGTTTTGGGTGTTGCCATGCAGAATTTCTGGAGCAATAGTCTGCTTCCAAGAGACATGGGTCTGTGCCATCAATCCGCCTATACACCGTCCCAACTCACTAACAGGATGTCACATTATCAGTCACAGTGTAATCATAATACTGCTTCTTTAGGTCTCAAATAAATTGAAACTAAACACATTTTTAAAATGTTTAATTTCTGGACATCAGCAAGGTACCATCAACAGATAAAAGAAAATTAACACTTGAAAAAAATGAACAAAAGTGTGTTTTAATTTTTTTTTGTCAAGAAACCATTCCATCCTTTTACATGGAAAAGCAGCAGGACATTAAAATTGCATTGCAACCAGCCGACAAAAGGTTTACAGTTTGTTGCAGCTTCAACTTCAGGTCAAGTGTTTAGTCATAACGTCATGACTGAAACTTATTTCAAAAGGCAGTGCAACATACATGCATCTCACAAAAATGCCTTTCCCAATATATTGACTTAACACAAAACTAGAGCGGTCCTAATCACGACATATGCCATTTTAGTTAATGACTGTCAAACAATAGAACTTTTTGTCCTACCTTTTCATTTTACACAAATAAGGGGAAAAAAAAAAATCTGTGATAGAGAATTTTAAAGTCACTAGAAATCTACAGTAAATACTTCAGTGACAAAGCCTTCAAACTTTTTACAAAACGAGAGTTGCAGCTGTAACTACGGTTCTATGAATCCCGGATGACCGCCAGAAGTGGTGCTTAAAGCACTGAATGATCATTCTTGCTCATGCGCAGGTCGAGAATTTATACCAACATAGTCACGTGTGACGCCCGGGACACCGGTGAGTCTATATAAGAACGTGACAACGGTAGCCCAGTCCCTTAATCTTCTCGCGAAACGCGATGATTCGGAGGGACCGAGCGCTCTGGTGGTCATCCAGGATTCATAGAACCGTAGTTACAGCTGTAACTCTCATTCTATTTCATCCCTACTGACCGCCAGAGGCGGTGCTTAAAGCACTGGATGACGATTGCCAACAGAGTCCTGAGGAATCACACACACAAGAAGAAACAAAATTTAAATGTGCCCACCTTACTGAGACGAAGATGGGTGATGCGATAGGATCCCTTCCAATGGGTGAAAGGCAGCCAGGTTTACCCCGTAGAACCTGGCAAAGGTATTTGGGGATGACCAGGAGGCTGCTGCACATATTGCCTCCAGAGTGACCCCATTCATAGTGGCCCATGACATGCTAACGCTCCTGGTGGAATGGCATTGTACCCTTCAGGTGGCTGGCGGCCCTGCAGAGTGTACGCCTGTTCCACCACGTCCACAATCCAGCGCGCAAGGCGCTGCTTTGAAAGGGCCTGCCCTTTGCGAGGCCCTGCATAGCAAATGAACATATCAGACAGCCGCAGAGAAGCTGTCCGTCTGATGTACGCTTCCAGTGCCCGAAAAGGGCAGAGGCTCATCAGCACCATCTGCATCGAAGCGAGCAAGCTGGAGAGGCAGAGAGTGGGTCACAGATGAGGCCCCCTTAGGGAGGAACGTTACGTTAGGCCAGAGTATAACACCCGAACCAGCCGGGTTCCAACAGAAACAGTCGTGAACAGACAGTGCATGTAGTTCACCTACTGTTTGGCCGAAGCCATGGCCAGGAGAAACGCGGTCTTCTTAGACAAGCACTCAAGGCTCACGTCCGTCAAAGGCTCAAACGGGGCAGACCGCAGGGTAGCAAGGACCAGAGAGAGATCCCACACAGGCACGACGAGGCGTGTGGGGGGATGCAGATGTCTGGCGCCTCTCAGAAACAAGGACACATCCTTTTTACGACCTAATGTCTCCCTACCTACCACCGTATGCCAGCAAGAGATGGCAGCAACATAAACTTTCAGGGTGGATGGAGACCGGCCCTGAGAAAGTAGCGCCTGAAGGAAAGTAAGAATAACAGAAAGAGGACATTGTACAGGGTCCTCGTGTCTGGCACGACACCAGTTGCTGAAGACCTTCCATTTATATGTGTACAACAGTCGTGTGGAATCGTGTGGAAGGGGCCCTGGCGTTATTCATTGTATGTGCGACCTCCCCGTCATATTCTGAGAAGGTAATGCCGGGCCCTGTAGTGGCCAAGCCCAGAGCCGGAGGTGACTGGGGTCGGGGTGCAGGAGCTGACCCCCCAAATGTGATAGGAAGTCCTTCCTGTGGGGTAGAGGCATTGGAGAGCGGCAACAGAGCCTGTGCAGCAGTGGAAACCAAGTTCTCCCTGGCCAGAGGGGAGCCACTAGGAGGACTTGATGCCCCTCTTGAAGGACTCTCAGGAGTGTTGGGCCTATCAGGGGAAGCGGCGGAAAAGCATACAGCAGCACCCTGGGCCACTCGTGTGCCAGTGCGTCCTGACCCAGGGGACTGGCACTGCCTGCCAGAGAAAGCCAAAGCGGGCAGTGTGTCGTTTCCTGAGATGCAAACAGGTCCACAGCTGCCTTGCCGTACCTCTCTCAAATTACCCTCACCACCTCTGGATGGAGCCTCCATTCCCCAGGTGGTGGGCGTCCCCGAGACAGAAAATCTGCCGGTCCGTTCCGCACTCCTGGAATGTGGGCTGCCCTCAGGCTGGCAAAGGGAGGGCTGCCCAAAGTAAGAGGTTCTGGGTCAGTAGCAGCAATGTCAGCGACCGTGTTCCACCTTGATGGTTGACATGAAAAACCACAGAAGTGTTGTCGGAACGCACCAAGACATGCTTCCCACGCAGGTCCGGGAGGAAGTGTTTTTGTGCCAGCCGCACAGCATCCAGCTCCAAGGCATTGATGTGCCTCGCCTTTTGCTGTGGAGACCACGTTCCTTGGGCAATCCGTCGCTGCCACGATGCTCCCCAACCTGTGGTGGATGCATCTGTACAAACAACCTCCCTCCAAGACGGCAGAGAGCCCAGTGGGACCCCTTTCACCATAAACACTGCATCTCGCCACTGAGCCAGTGAAGCGAGGCATTGAGGGGACACCAGCAAACCTCCTGCGTCAGTGCACTGCACAAGTCGAATCCAGCCGCAGGCTGTTGAGCCACATCTGTAGAGGGCGCAGAGACAACAGCCCCAGAGGTACCACTGTGGAGGCAGCAGTCAGCTTGCCTAACAGGCGAAGGTACGCATTGAAGTGGGGTGCACAGCCGGGCAGGAAGGCGGGCAGCATCTGTAGAATCCCGCTGACACGCTGTGGCGACAGGCAAGCCAGCATGGTGAGGGAGTTCATAGTAGTTCCCAGGAACGGCTGCAGTGTAACAAATAAAGTCAAGCCTAACACGGCTGTAACTATGTGAATGAGAGGCAGGCATGAAAACGGCTGCAATTTAACAAACAGAAGCGGACGCAGCTGTACAATATAAGCGCGAGCTTGAACAGGTAAAGGTGGGCGAAGCTGAACACGGCCGCTACACCCGCAACTGAAAACAAGCAAGCAGGAACGCGGCTGCAATGCTTTCTGTAAACCAAGGAAAAATCGTCTAAACGCCGTACTTCCAGCCAATAAGGAAACCCGATGTGGCTAGCGAACATGCTACCACCGGGTCAATAAAAACAAAACAACTTACCAGTTGAAGTACAATTTGTTTAGAGAATACCAGCTTGCGCAGCCTCTGGAGGGCGAGACAGTCCCGCAGCTCTGACCATAGTCTTGAGGCTAACAGCGTCAAGCAGAAAAGTAAACCTCTTACCACCTGCATGCGAGAAGATGAAAGGGACTGGGCTACCGTTGTCACGTGCTTATATAGACTCACCAGTGTCCCGGGGGTCACACGTGACTATGTTGGCATAAATTCTCAACCTGCGCATGAGCAAGAATGATCATTCAGTGCTTTAAGCACCACCTCTGGCGCTCTAGGGATGAAATAGAATAGGGCTGCAACAATGAATCGATAAAATCGATGATTAAAAGCGTTGGCAACGAATTTCGTTATCGATTCGTTGTGTCGCACGATTATGCATCTTTCACGGCACTGCGGAGCCGTTCCGTTTTGTTCACGGACAGTTCATTGTCAATGCTGACTGACTGAATAAAGTTTGAAAAAAAAAATGCAGCAGCGCGAGTTGAACAGAGCGAGGGGGGAGCAAAGCAGAGGCGGTGTTTTCAAAGGAAATTTAAATAAATTTTACAAATGACCGACGCAGCGAAAACTGTTCGACCCAAGTCCTCCGAAGTGTGGGAGAACTTCACAAAGATAAAAAATGAGAAACATGCCGCTTTGAAAATCGCCGACACGACACGAGAGAACCACGAAGATGAAACGTAAACATGTCGGAGTCACAAGGAGGAGAAAGGAGCTGCAGCTGATACAACTCTTCATGTGTTGCAGGTGAGTCTCTACAATTTAACACATTGTTCAGTTTCCAAGTGAGAAAACGTAACGTCAGTCTGTCTGGTAGCTGAAACTGTTTGTTTGTTTGTTTATCTGATTAATGACTGTGATAGAACGTTTGTGTTACTTTTTATTTAATTTAATTGGTACAAGCAGTGTTTAAATGTGATTTAAAAATAAATCTAACACAAAGATAATAATTTAATGATTAAGCTTCAACTTTTAATTTGCTGGCAAAATCTGAAGACACTGCAGGTATGGCAGGATGAATTGCATTTAAACAGGAATTAAAGTAATTTATTACATCTACTCAAATGTGTGTAATTAAGTATTTTATATATATATATGTGTGTGTGTGTGTGTTTAATTGCTCTTTTAGCTACTTTTGCCTGAACCTAACACTGTAAGTGAAACAAGGCATTTCTTGAGTTGCTGTAAATTATGCTGTAATACATATTTACTCTCTCATTCCAGAAAACAACAACAAACAACAACATCCTTCATGATGGACAGACATCATGGACACCACAGCAGCAGCTGTCTTCACTGAAACATCCTGAACATGATCGTCACTGACACGAGGCCTCTGTCGATGGTTGAAGACGAAAGCTTCACTACAATGATCCACACTTTTAATCCAGGTTACAATAATCCACACTTTTAATCCAGGTTACAATAATCCACACTTTTAATCCAGGTTATACTCTTCCCTCAAGGACACATTTTACAAAGTAGCTACATATTGTGCAGGTATAAAGATACATTTGTATATATTTTGTGTACATTTATTTTTTTAAGCTATTTGACTAACTTTTATTTTTTATTATTCAAAAATTTTTTAACACAATAGTCAAATAGCAACCTGTTTTTTGTGTGAATTGCTGTCAGTCAAATGTTCAATTTTGGAATAAAGGGGTGGAAATTAAAACTTTTTTTTTTTTTGCCGATTCATCGATTAATCGAAAATATAATCGTCTGATGAATCGATTTTTGACATAATCGTTAGTTGCAGCCCTAAAATAGAACTACAGGTCCTTCTCAAAAAATTAGCATATTGTGAAAAAGGTCATTATTTTCCATAATGTAATGATAAAAATGAAAATTTCATATATTTCAGATCCATTGCACACCAACTGAAATATTTCAGGTCTTTAATTGTTTTAATAC